TATAGAAGGGTATCTTATTGAGGTTTTAATTTGCATATCTCTAGTTTCCAAGGAAACTGAACATCTTTTTTGTGGTATTTGTGGGCTATTTGTGTTTGTTTAATTTTTTTTAACTTGACATATACAAAGACAATTTTGAAATAGATTTTGTGCATTTAGCCTTATCAAATTCTTATTCTAATTATTGTTAGATTCCTTAAGATACTCTATATGTGTAATCAAGAATGATAGTTGTTTTTCCTCTTTCCAACGCACAGGTGTTTTATTTTCTTGCCTTGTTTGCTGAGTATGCCTGCCAGTATAATGAAAGTAGTCAGAGCTGCCATCCTTATCTTGTTCTTAAAAGGAGTGCCTGTAATGTTTCACCATTTACTATGACATTTGTTTATTGTTTGTGTTCTCTGTATCAACTCAAGCTACTTTTTGTTCCTATACATAGAGTTTTTATCGTAAGTGGGTATTAAAATGTAAGCGTCTTTCTGTACTCTTAGAAATGACTATATAATCTCACTCTCCCTGCCCTGGCCCATTAATGTATTTGGTAGATCCTGTTAATTGATTTTTTTAACCCCAAACCAACCTTGTATTCCTGGAATAAATCTTTAATCATAATAAATCTTCCTAGATTAGGTTTGTTATAATTATTATTATTATTTAGGTTTTTTCCATATATGTTTATGAATGAAACTGGCATATTATTTTTTCTTTTTTACACTTATCTTTATCCAAGGTTATGCTGACTTCACTAAATGACTTAGGAAGTGTTTTCTGTTTTATTTCGTTATTGTTCTCTGTAAAATTTTGTGAAAGATTGAAATTATTTGTTCCTTGGAACTTTAGAATCACCCTTGGGTAAAATTCCCTAGGCTTTGCATTCTCTTTGTGGGAAGACTTTCACCTACTACTTCAGTTCTCTAAGTGCTGTGGGACTCTTCAGATTATGTTTCTTCTTCTGTCAGTCCTGATAAGTGATATTTCCTAGTGAATTGTCCATTTCTAAGTTTTACCTTTATTAGTGCGAAGTCACTTGCACATACATACTAGGCAAGCACCATACCCCTGAGCTGCATCCACAGCCCTGCACACCTAACTCATCACTGTACGTGAGTGACTAGACGAATCAGGCAGCCTGGCCAGTCCTTACAGCTTGGCTTTCCCACTAACTAGTCATGCTGTCTTGAGTACGTCACCTAAGATTCCTTGAAGCTATCTATATAAGATCTGAGGTTTAGCTCAGGAGTGCTATTCTAATGAAGACTCTATAGAATTGCTAGCTCCACTCTCTCACTTCTAAATGCCTTCTGAACCACTTTTTGTAGATTTTTTTCAGGGTTTCTCAATTTCCATGTGTCTTAAGTCAATTTTACATTATTTACCTTCTCTCCTAAAGAGTTAACTCCTGTAGTTCCTTTTTCCATTGTATTTTTTCCCCCAAGCACACAAGCCCAGATGTTCCTGGGCTTTGGCTCCCAGCAGCCTGTGTCCTCATAATCAAGTTAGGGTACACACAGCCTTTCCCCTCCCCTTCCTATTAGCCCAGTTCTACAAGAATGATTTCTGTGTAGTACAGTATCTTTCTTGTACCCTCACCTTACAGTGGAGCCTCAGACACCTTATTTAAAGAAGAAATTATCTGCCTTTGCATCTTAAATCTCTGTATTTAGCTGAGTTTGCTCAGTGTTCTTTTTATCTTAGTACTTTTTTATATTTTCAGTAATACTGGGGATTGAACCCAGGGACTTGTGCATGCTGGGAAGGTGCTTTACCTGAGCTGTCATCCCAGCTGCTCCCCCCACACCAGCCTTTTTAATTTTGAGTCAGTCACTGAGTTGCTGCAGCTGGCTTTGAACTTGGAATCCTCCTGCTTCAGCTTCCCGAGTAGCTGGGATTACAAGCATACACTGCCATGCCTGACCACCTTAGTACCTTTGAGTACTATTTTATATTTAACAGATGGTTAGTCCATTATAGCCACAAAAAGGGACACAGTAGAGGCGCAGGAAAACAAAGTTTATTATACTTACCAATTCAAGAGGCGGGGGATGACACTCCATACATGCCCCTCTGGGAAAGTTACCAAAGATGGGGAGGAATCAGAAATCGGAAAGGAAGGAAAGGGAAGGTTTAAGCTACTGCCTTTAAGTTTTCCTTGGGAAAGGCAGGCAGGCCAGGGTAAAGATGAGGACTGGGCAGTTTGAATCATTTCAGGGCTTTGAGCTACAGGGGTGGGCTCTGGGATGAGTAAGAGAAAGGAGTGTGACCTTCAAAGTGTGTGAAGCGGGCCCTGGGGATTTAGCTCAGTCTTTCCCCTGCCTGCCTTGCAACGCAAGCGCAAGGACCCATTCTATCCCCAGTACCAAAAAAAAATAAAAATAAAAAAAATATAAACAAAGTCTGTGAAGATGTGGCTCTGAACTGATTAGTTTGTATATCAAAGATATGGGCTCCTGGCTGGGACCTTTGCTATCTCTTAAGAATTGACTAAACCTAGGGGGCAGTCTCACCCCAGCCCGAGAAGGTTTTTAAGATGTCAAAACATCATAGTATATTAAAATTTTTTAAGTATTTACAGTATAAATTTCATACCTTTATCTCATTTTCCTAAGAGGCAGGGCCGTAGCACTTAAAGAATCTTACCTGCTGATACTCTTAGCGGTATTCTACCGTAGACCATTGTACCAGGGATACCAGAAACCAGTCTTATGTTAATTAATGCTTTGTGGCTTACAAAGAGCTTGTTACCATTTTTATGGTAACTAGAGAATGGAACCCGTATGTAGAATTTATGGACTCCATAAGAGAACTATATTTGGTTCTGGAAGACTAGTTGATAATCTTTTAAGTGCTTGTTTCTGTTTTTCACAATCTTGTCTTTCTGGTTTGTTAGTTTGTGTAATATATCTTGAGCATATTCCTCTAATGGTGCACAGTCTTTTTCCCAGTTTTATTAAGACTGAGAAACTAATGGAGCACAATCTTAAAATCTTTACGTAGATAATTTCTTACATAGAAATCAAGACAACCACTAATGATAAAATGCGCAGCTTTAAAATTGTGAAACTTCTTTGTCTGGCTTTATGGAAGTAACTCTAAATTTCATTTCATGCAAGTTTATAATTACTTGATATGAATATTAAGTCTTAATTCCATTAGCTGTATATGTTTAATTATTAATTAATTTCCTACTTGTGGGAGACTGGGAAAAAACTTAAGTGATCTGTATGAACTTTTAAGAAATGAACATATATACATCCTTTTATAATTATATCAAATAGCCCTTCAGGGTCATCCAGTATACCAAGGATGTTAGGATATATAATGGCAGCAGTTAGCACCTTTTAGAAATCATGCTTTAAGCTTCTGACTTGTGCTTCCTCACTGGTGAGCTCTGGGTATGTCCCCACACATAGATGTGAAGATGGGAGATAGGATGTTCCAGTTACCCATGTGCTAAAAGATTCTTCAGGTTCCTGTGGTCTGTTACATTTTACTCGGTGCAGAGAATTCTGGCTTCTTCTAAACAATAACTGGTTGTAGTAATTTGAATACTTTTCCTAGGAAGTCCCACAAAAAGGGATGGGGACCTTGACTTGCCCCTTCCCGAGTCTCCGTGGAGTAGACTTGGCTCATCACAGAGAATTACAAGATAAGTCAGTGAGAGGCATAGACAGATTTATTAAGAAAATCAAAGAAGTGCACACTCAGAAAGGAGTGCATGCTGTAGGATGAGGTGTATCATCACTTGTGAGCTTGGTGGTATCCTCGGGACTGATGATCTATTCTGAATGTGTGTTCCTAGTGTCTGCCAGGTTACCCGTTAGTCGGCCAGGTTAAAAGCAAACCATTTATTTGCATATGTTGGACATTTAGCGAGGGAACCCAATTAATAGTGCTGTTTCCTCGAGGGTGGAAGTCTGTGGAATTTGCAGATTTATAGTACCAGAAGAGGAACACGGGTCCAATTTGCAGGCTTATTTGTATCTTGGAGACTTAGGAATCTAGAAGTGAGACACCTGGAAGAAAAACAGGCCTACGGGTGGAGAAGGCATTGTAACTCTGGGTAACTTTGCACCTTGAAGCTGCAATGTCCTTAAAAGTACAATTTTAAAATGAAAATTTCCTTATCTTATTTCTACCTGTCTTTATCTCTTCTATTCTACTTCATTTTGTTCCCTAGAAGGTATTTCTGGGTGGTAAGGTGCCGTATCTTTCCATAAATTAGTCATATTCCAACATCAAATCACAGCATAGGTGCTTAAAAAGCACTTGGCATAACATTTTGAAAAATATAGCAGAGCCCTTGCTAATAAGATAATGTAGCAAACTGTACTTTGGAAACAGTACAACTATTTTGGTTTTTTTTTTTTATGCTTATCATATAAGCTTTTGCCATCAAATTGTCTTCATTAAAGTGTTTAAGTCAATAGTAAACCTTTCTTGTTCTTGGTAAAATGACCAGTGAATTTCTATCCCAGCCAAATCTTAAGCCGAATGAGAGTAGAAGCAAGCGGTCCTTGTAACTTTTTGGAATTCTGCCTCTGCGGTGCACTCCAACAATGAAAATGATTTCTTACTTAAAGCCATCTTAAGTTCCATGCCTGTCCCAAACCCAGTCACTGCATCTATACCTGAGTTCTCCAACACTGCCTTATAATTGTAACTCTATGTTTTTATTTCTGTTCATGAAACTTTATGAGCATTACATGCTTTTCCTGCAGTCCTACCTTTTGAAGAGAAAGTCTTTCACTTTGTTTTCTTTTTTTTTTTGGTACTGGGGATCAAACTCAGGACCTTGCGCTTGCGAGGCAGGCTGCAGAACTACTGAGCCAAATCCCCAGGCCCTCACTTTGTTTTTTTTTTTAATCCCTTCTTTTCCTTGAAAGTATTTAGAAAAGTGCTTATGCAAAATAGGTTCTTAATGAATATTGGTAACTGATGTCTGATACTTTATTTCTTTTGGGTTTATTTCAGTAGTTGAAATTATTTTGCTTGCTTTCCAGGCACACAAACCAATGGTCTGGACTTTCAGAAGCAGCCTGTGCCTGTCGGAGGAGCAATCTCAACGGCCCAGGCCCAGGCTTTCCTTGGACATCTCCATCAGGTGGAACGTGCTGGGGCTCGGGGAAGTTATTTCAGAATGCAAGACTTTTTAAAATTATTTAAAACCTAGTGCTAGTTGCCACCATTATTAGGTACCATTCTGAATGGTTAGTGTAGAATCATTATAGTTTAGTTGACTGTATAACCACTGACCACACAGCTGTGTGGGGGAAAAGGAATTTCTTGTTGAACAGAGTATCTAGATAGCTATCACTGCCTGAGACCTGCTGGGTAAGACTATGAGCTGAAAGGTCACATCCCTCCTCTAAAACAGCTTCAGATCATTTTGATTTTTGCTTCACTATGAACCCCCTAATTTGAGGTTAAAAATGCCTACCTCAATTTATTATTCTGATACCATGTGATTTTTTTTTTCCTGAGTCTAAAAAAGAATGTGGATTCTCTTTATCCATGTTTTAGCTATAATGTAGAGGGAAAGTGAACACAAGAACAAATTGGCTACTCGAATTTGGAATATGGGAACCTAGGGAAAATAGAAAGCAATGTGTACCAACCCCCCGTGATAAATGTAATCATTACATATTGCAAGCATGTACTAATGAAAAGATGAAATAAAAAAGTTGCTTAATCAGAAATGGAAAGCAAACAGTGAAAACAAGTTGGAAGATGGATTATCATAGTATCTCAGCCTCTTGATTTATGTTCACGATTAAGTATTAGGGCAACATCTGGGACATTTTAGAAGTCTTACCTCACTTAAAATGAAGAACTCATTTAGTGCTAAGCAGTGTTGGCAGGAGTGACACAAGTGATGGTATCTAATGATGGTAGCAGTTTGGTGAAAACCCCATATGGACTTAAGGGGGGTGTTAAATATTAAGTTACTGTGAATAAATTTTATGCTACTCTACTCTTTTAATTAAAATACTCATCAGACCACCTGAAAATAAACTTCTCTACTTGAAAACAGGTGAAATTCTAGGAAGCTGTTCTAAGGATTTTTTATTGTCTGCAGAGCCAAAGGGATATTATTGTTGCTAATCTCTTACTGTCCCTAATTTGTAAATTAAACTTTATAATAGGTATCTGTGTATAGGAAAAAATATAGTATATATAGGTTTGATACTCGGTGATTTCAAGTGGAAGGGGCAGTTCTTCAAATGTAATACCTGTGGATGAGGGGATCTACTTTATCTTTGAAATAGAGAAACTTCTAAATACAACTTCTAAATAAAATATTAAGAGGAGTTGATATCTGAAATTAACTGAAGAATATATTTTTAATATACTCTAGAAAAAAACAAAAATGTTGTCTTGCCCCAAAGCCTCATGTGGTCATAGGTGGCTGAATCTAGAGTATGTAATTCTAGGATTAAGTGTATGTGATTGGTTTGCCACCACCCTAATCCCAGTAGTCTGAATAAGATAAAAGGGGCAGAAAGACACCGTTAGGGTTCCTTGTTATTTTTGCTGTCTTCTGGTACCGTGAAGTGTTGCCCCTCTGCCACCCTGCCTTGGAGCCAGTCGATTATGGACTGAAAGGGCTATGAACTGTAAGACAAATAAACCCTCTCCTCTCTTAAAAAAAAATGTTATCTTGTTTATTTTCTGAGAACATTCAAATTTTCAAAAAAGTTTTCTGGTTCATTAAAAGGTATTTTAGACAATCACATGATATAGCATCTCTTAACTGGCTTAACTATGTGGTAGTCTGTGTTAGTTTTCCATTGCTGTGACAAAATACCTGAGAAAATCACCTAAAAGGATGAAGATTTATTTTGGCTCATAGTTTTCAGAGGTTTCATGGCCATAATCACTTGGGGCTCCAATGAGGTGGAACATCATGATAAGGATCATCTGATGGAGCAAAGCTGCTCACCCTACGGTGACCAAAATACAAAGAAGAGGAGAAAGGGGCAGAGGTTCCAATAGCCCTTCAAATGCACTTCCCTTCTACGAGGTCACATCTCCTACAGGTTCCTCCACCTCCTAGCAGTGCCATCAGCCAGGGACCAAGCCTTTCAACACAGGAATCTTTGGGGGACCATTTAAGATCCAAACCTTATCATGATCCTAATGTATTAAAAATCCCAGAAGGTACATAAATGATATACATTCTTCTCACTGAGTCCATATTCCAAGAGCTCTTACACCAGCTCCACGGCCTCTAGGTCCAGCCAATGATTACCACAATCATAGAACCCTCCAGTATCACCCAAACCCCAAAGGATTGAAACCCAAAGAATTTATTTGAAACCTTGAAACTTTTGAATCCCCCAACAAATCAAAAATCTGTCCATAATTATCTACCATCTGATTAGAAACATACTTAACATGCAATGTGACACCTTTTTCCAGCCCTCTTATTGACCAGGTTAGCACATCGAACTTTTCCTTACCATAGTTATAAATATTCATCTACTTACACAATCAGTTTAGGTCTGTTGCCCCATTAACTATATGCTCCATGAAGACAGGGACCTTTTTTTTGTTTACCTGTGACCCTCGCACTTACCAAAGAGCACACCATGTAAGAAATGTTCAGTAATTATGTACTGAATAAGTGAATAGATGAATGAATGATACAGTATATGGAAATACAGAGGAAGACAGTGATTAGGTCAGCATTATAACCCAAGTTATTTATAGTATGTATACAGGGTAGTTTTGGAGCTGAGTCTTTGAAGTATATTAGAAACTAGCTAAATAGAGTGGTAGAGGGATGCTCTCATTTTTTTTATTTTAAAACTTTCTCTGTTTTGAAAACTTGTAGGGGCCGGGGATTTAGCTCAGTTGTTTCAGTGCCTGCTACAACAAGCGCAAGGACCCAAGTTCAATCCCCGGTACCAAAAAAAAAATGAAAACTTCTAAATTACAGAATTATTACAACAGTAGAACAGTGTTTGTCTAAAATTACAGTGTTACTATTTTATCATATCTGAGTACATGTATACACATAGAAAATTATTTTATTGCTAGCTCATTAGAAAGTTTCAGGTATTATGATCATTTATTTATAAACACCTTGGGTTCTTTATCCAAAAAACAACATTCTTTTATAAACTACAACGAACATTTCAAATTCTAGAAATTTAGCATTGATGTTAGATTATTTCCTAATATATAGTCAATATTTAAATGTTCGATCAGATCTGTTAGTTATCAAATCTGTTCAGTCTTTCTGAATCCACAACAGTTCCTCAGCCTATCTTTATCTTTCATGATGCTGACATTTTTGACATGAAGCCAAGTATTTTATAGAATGCCCCTCATTTGTGTGTTTGATTGTTCCCTCATGATCTCACTCAAGTTGAATGTTCTCAAAAGAAATACAATAGAAATGATGTTGAGTTCAGCTCAGTGCATTGTATCAGAAGGCATACGCTATTTCCTTATCCCATTATTGTGATACTAGTTTAATTACTTGATTAAGGTGGTATATCAGATTTATCCACTGTAAATAGTTTTTTCCCATTAAGACTGTGAAAGTCGGGCCAGGGATTTAGCTCAGTGGTTCCGGCACCTGCCTCGCAAGCGCAAGGTCCCGAGTTCGATCCCCGGTACCAAAAAAAAAAAAAAAAGACTGTGAAAGTCTTTTACTTCCTTTGTTAAATTGATTCCTAAGTATTTCTTTTTTTTTTTTAATGCCATTGTGAAAGGTATGGATTCCCTAATTTCCCTCTCAGTGTGTTTGTTATTTGTGTACAGAAAAGCTATTGATTTTTGAGTGTTGACTTTATGTCCAGCTATGATACTAAATTTGGTTATTAAATCTAGAAGTCTTTCTGTGGAGTTTTTGGGGTCTTCTATGTAAAGTATAATGCCATCCGCAAATAATGATAATTTAACTTCTTCCTTTCCTATCCACATTCCTTTTATTTCTTTCTCTTCTCTAATTTCCCTGGCTAATGTTTCCAGAACTATATTGAACAGGAGTGGTGATAGTGGACATCCTTGTCTTGTTTCTGATTTTAGAGTGAAAGCTTTCTGGTTTTCACCATTCAGTATGATGTTGGCTGTTGGTTTGTCGTAGATGATTTTTGTCAGATTGAGATGGAGACCGTCTGTTTCAATTTTTTTGTAGGGTTTTTATCATGTGTGATATTGGACTTTGTCAAATGCTTTTTCTATGTCTATTGAGATGATCATGTGGCTTTTGTCCTTGGTTCTGTTACCCTTTTAAGACTGTGTAAGTATCCTATTCTGCAAAGCTTTTACCCAGGAACATCATTATTTAAATAAAATTGCATAAACTTTATTTCCTTTACATCTTTGTACCTGAAACTCTTTCCACTGGCTACCTTTTTAAGTCTTAATTTAAACATTATCACCTTAGCTAGGCCTCTCCTGATTGCTGTGTATTTAAAATACATTCTGCATAGATCCTGGGTCCTTTTTTTTTAATGCTTTTGTTTCCTTTGGGCATGAGATTCTTATTTACTAACAAGACTGTCCATTTCAAATAAAGGACATAGCTTTTAATTCTACTGAGTTTCATACCAACATTTATATTTAAGCTTAGAACATCTTACTGGTATATGATGTATATTCAAAATGGAACTCATTGTATTCCTCATTGATGACATTGCCATTTTCCAGTCTCTCAGATTCAAACCCTGGAATAATTCATAACTCATTTTTTTTCATCTATGTCATCAGTTCCCACAATCCTCATGAATCCTTATGTAGTATTGTCCAATACCTTTCATGTTTCCTACTTTTTATTCCCACTGCTACCTGGCTAATTTAGGCTTCCATTTATTCTAGCCTAGTTTATAGTCTCTTTCTTCATTCTTGGTTTTTCTTTGTTTTCAGGACAAAGCAGTTATTTTGTGGTGTTCCCCAATTCGGGTTCATCTGCTGTTAAATCCATGAGTAGAACCAGGTTATCCACTCATGATAGTAATATAACAGAAATAACTTTGTAGTACGTTCTTCACAGTGTGTTGTAGCAGAAGCACATGTCTCATTACTGGGGCCTCCGACTGTGCTCAGTTGATCATTTGACGGCCAGGTTCCCCCTCTGTAAAGTTACTGTTTTACCCTTTGTGATAGTATCTGTGCAGGAGTAGTCAAGAATATGTACATATATTTCACCCACTAGGGAGATCATCCATTAATGATTATTGCCTGAGTCAGTGATTATTATGCTTACCAAATGATAGTTTCCAATTCCATGTGCATCCTTAGTCTAACATAACCATGATTTAAACTTTCTAAATGTATGACAGTAAACTTTCACATGTGGTTCATGGGATAGATTTTTTATTTTAGTGAAGAGTTTTAAGTTATAACTAAATGTTTTAAGAAATTCTTGTATAGGTGTGTTTCTATGTAAGATTGTTACTCTGGTGCATCATGGAAATTTTAAAGTAAGATAGTTCTGATTATTTGAAGTGATAAAATAATATACAGAGGTAACTTGTTCCAATGTGTTCTTTAACATGATATGGAGGATAGATTAAGTTTTTAAAATCTAAGCACCCTATGAATACAGACAAGAATGTTAAATAATGTGGAAGTCACAAGTGTGGCTGCCTCAAGGTTCAATTAGTGTGGAAAAACATCGTTAGCTTTTTTTTTTTTGTTCTGGGGATCAAACTTGGGTCCTTGTGCTTGCGAGGCAGGCAGTGGAACCACTGAGCTAAATCCCTGGCCCCCCCTTTTGGCATTTTTTAAGGTGGGAAAGACACCATGCATTTGTCCTTAAAGTTCTAACACAGTAAGAGAAGCCTTTACGTTTTCAGTTCTACTCAGTAACATACACTTAGTAGAAATTCTTGTAGTATTTGTTTGATAACAAATTCTAGTGACGAATGTCAACACTATTAAATTATAATAGCCTGATTATTTCGCCTACAGGTCCAGCTCGCTGGAACAAGTTTACAGGCTGCTGCTCAGTCTTTAAATGTACAGGTAAGCTGGAATATGAGATTAAGGGTCAAATTTTCCTTTTTTTCCATAGTTTCTCTACTGGGCACAAAATAATTTTATAATAGGATATTCTGAGAAAGATTATAGTATTTCTATTGTTATTACTGAATCTAACAAAAATCAAAATGGTAATTATTGCCATTACTGAAAATCAGTTTTGTATTCTGCTACTGAGAATTAACTCCAGAGGTTTACAAGAAAAGTTTACTTTCAAAGTTTGATATGTAAGTTCACTAGAACATTTCTAAGTTATACAGCTAAAACATGTAACTTTTTAAAAGTCAAGTAATTTCTTAAATGCTCTTTCATTTCCAAAGATCTTGTTGTATGTCATTTTTCAGTCTTAGGGAAGCATTATAGTTCAGAGGAAAGAACACTGGACTGAAAAATGTGAGGTTCTTCAGATTTGAATTCTCGTTCTGCCACTAAGTAGTTATGTGACCTTTGGCGAGTCACTTAAACTCTTAGGGCTCAGATTTTCTTGCATATATTTAAGTGGGGACATGTATAAGATTGCCAGAGTTCTGCTCTGCTCTAAACTATTGTGCTTCTAAGATTGTTAGTAAGTAAGCCTGTTTGTAGACATTGCTAATAGACAGTGAAAATTTAAAACAAAACTTAAATCTGGTACATATTTTGCTTCTAGGAACCATATGGCAAAACATGCAAAGTTTAAGTATTATGTGTTACTCCATAACATTTCAATCAACGTGCTGCTTCCTTTCATTATAGTGTTTAGGTAACTTAACAGTCAAGAGGAAAAAACAGTATTCTGGAAGATTGATTCCAGTGTTGCTAATGACTAAAGACCTTGGGTTGGGCATTCCATGAAACCCAGTGGAATATGGTCCTAGTAACACATGGAAACAAGGAGAGAAAAGAAAAGGAGATAATGTGATCTTCCTTTCTGAGGGAGAAGAGGCGGAAAATTGCCTTGGTTGCCATGGTAAACTTTCATCCCTTAGAGAGATGTTGGCAAACAGGCTCTATCTCCAGTGCAGAATGTTTACAATCCTGCACTGTAATTATCTTTCAATGACTGGCAGAATTAATCAGAGCTTTTATGTTAATTAGCCTTGCTGCAGTCCCCAAAACAGGTGGTGGGAAATATGCAAATCTATGCAGAATTTTAATGTTCTGCATAACCATTTTTAATTACCATAAAATTTTCTCTCTATGCCCCGTTCAGGAGTGTATTCTCTTTCTTGACTGCAGTATTTTCTCTCAAGCCTGTATTACTTGATGAAAGATACTAGCTAGACTTACAGTTACTTAAAATAAGAGATGAAGAGTTCTGTGAATCAAGCAGTCAACTTCTGAGATGTTATATGAAGAAGCTTCAGATTGACCACCAGGTCTACATGAGAATGTTGATATGGAGCATCTGATACAGAAATTAATTTAAAATGTGTCCTTTTCTTCTTATTTTAGGAGTTGAGGATTTGAGGTTGTAAAAAAAACTCTTTGTTGGTTTGCTGGCACTGGAATAAAAACTTTTAAAACTTTGCAGGGTAAAATTTGGAAGATAACAGGCTTCCAAGAAAGGGAAAAAAAAGAAATCAGAAAACTCTGGACTTGAATAGCTCATGTTTTAAATGATTCTTAAAATACTGTTATAAATGCTATATATTTAATCTTTTAACTGTTGGAAATCCTTTTTTCCTACCCCACTCCACCTCAGGCTAAATCTAATGAAGAATCGGGGGATTCACAGCAGCCGAGCCAGCCTTCCCAGCAGCCTTCAGTGCAGGCAGCCATTCCCCAGACCCAGCTTATGCTGGCTGGAGGACAGATAACTGGGGTAAGTTTTCACCAAGAAAATTGTAATAAACTTCCTCTAGTCAGAAATGCCCTTGGCTGATACCTGATTACAACCACTGTCTAAAGCTGATGGTAACATAGCATTATTGTCCAATATTCGAGACATCTCTGTAAAGGAATTATCTTTGTCATAAGGGTTCAGCATTTCTTTTGTTATAATTGCAAATGCTCTGAATAGAGTAAGAAATTTTTAAACCCATGTTTCAGAGGTTGCTTCATCATGCTATGGAGTTGTTACATGCTTGAAACCATTACAGTAAGTTGGTGAAATGGCAGAAGTTAAAGATGGATTCTAGAATAAAACCTTTCTCTTCTCTTCTCTTTTTTCTTTTCTTTTCTTTTCTTTTCTTTTCTTTTCTTTCGTTCTTTCTTTCTTTTTCTTTTTTTTGTACCAGGGATCAAATTCGCACTTGCCAGGCAGGTGCTTTGCATTGAGCTAAATCCCTGGCCCTAAATCCTGTCATCTTAAATCCTGGCCTTGCAGCTTACTGCGTGTACTAATTAATCAATTCATCTCTCTGTACCTCAGTTTTCCTTCTGTTAAATGGAGATGTTAATAAACCTATCGCAAGTACTGTTGCAGAGATTATGTAAAGTTCATAAAATAATATTTGGCACCAAGCATTTAATAAATTCGTTTACTTTTACTAGTAACAAATTGGCCTGAGATTACATTAAGTTTTTAACTTTTCAGCTACCTTTGCTCTGAGACATAATTCACAGTATTTTTCCAGCATTGAAAGTATATCTTAAATTACCTGGAGGGAGGAAGGGAGGGAGAGGAATGGTAGGATAGATTTTTTTATTCAATTCATATCACATCAATCCTCAGGCTTATTTTCTGGCAGTGAAAAGCTTTTTTTTTAGAGAGTTTTTTTGGGTTTTGAGACAGGGTCTCACTATATAGTCCAGGCTGGCCTCAAACTCACAGCTATTCTTCTGCCTCAGCCTCAGTGCTAGGATTACAGGCATGTACCATCACACTCAGCTTAGTGAAAGACTCTTTTAAGAACTCTTGCAAAATTGTTTACAAAAATCCCATCAATAGAGATTAATATATGTATCTATGTTATATAAAATAAAAATATATACATATTGAGTTTGTTAACGGCTTAATTTTTCACTATGGTTCTAATGCACAGATTATATTTGGACCCTTTTAGAAAAAGGGTTGTGCTGCTAAGTAACCTCGAATATTTCAGTTCCTTCTAGTTTGATCAGAACATGTCAACAAAAGGCAGGTTCAGCACACTACTTTGATTTAAGCATATTATGAATAAATTCATTATGAAAACAAGTTTAAATCTTCTCTAAATATTTTTCCCATTTTACTATTTGGGTTTTATTTTTGGTGACTAGGGTCTACAATAATGAGAGGCTCTTGGGATTCCAGGTTCATGTGGCAGAAGCTATTAAACCTGGACCTTAAGCTTCATTTGCATGTAAAGAGAATGGCTGTCACCACCTGTTTCATAGAGATAATGTGTTGGAAAAGGGATGTAAAGTTGCAGAGACTCAGTGCTTTCAGTAACAGAAAAGATTGTGTTGAGGGGGGCCTATTGGGAGACTAGGAAAAGAAACAAATGGAGCTCATATTCTTTAGTCACATCTTAGGGCATAATGGAAATGATGGAATATGGCAGGGATTCGTGCTAATGGGAAGCAGCTGGGCCTTATCAGTTCTTTTCATGGTCATATCCAGCCTCCTTGTTCCTCATTCATCTGACTAATCTCTTGTTGTTTTGTTGGGTGTAAATTTCTTTTCATATCCTGTCAGCATTGATTCCTTTTATTTCTTGCTTACTGGTTAATTACCTATTTTTCCTGAACCCTAGGACCCTGGACAAGCTTGAATGATTAAGTCCAGAATAAGGGCTACTGCTTGAATTTCAGTGTTCTGCTAGGAATGGCAGTCTGATCACTGATGAGCATCGTAGCTGATGCTAACCCGGTGAAGTTGAGTAGCTAGGGCCTACCACCACTTGAGTTACCTATTTCGCAGCAGTGAACTTGGATTGCATGCCCTGCTCATGGGGCCTTCCCATCGTGTGTTCTCGTTTTGTTTAGCTCACGTTGACGCCAGCCCAGCAGCAGTTGCTGCTACAGCAGGCACAGGCACAGGCACAGCTGCTGGCAGCTGCAGTGCAGCAGCACTCCGCCAGCCAGCAGCACAGCGCTGCTGGGGCCACCATCTCAGCCTCCGCCGCCACACCCATGACGCAGATCCCCCTGTCGCAACCCATCCAGATCGCACAGGTGAGTAGAGGCGTGGTGCTAGGGCAGCAGGCAGGGAGTAAAAGAGCAGATTTATGAAATATTAAAGTAACTTTCTGATTGTTGGTATGGGTCTTAGATGATTGAGGTAAATGGAACCCCTTCCTTACCACTGAATTAGAAGTAATACACTTGTTTGCTTATTTGACTTGGTATTATAAACACAGGCTGATTATTTGAATAACTGACTGTTTATATTAAGTGATAATTCTTGAATAAGTAGCTGCCATATTTCTAAAGTAGAGGATTACTGTATTTATCTTAATGAGCTAATTACAGCAGGCACGGGTTCTTTCATGTGTTCTGCAGTAAATGTTGCCACCCATGTGTAAGAGAGACAGCGAGTCATCTCTCTACTTTGGAGCAGTTAGCACTGTGAAAACTGCAGTAGACTCTCATTTGGTTTCATTTTACACATTTTTAGCCAAACCATCCCAAGATAATAAAAATGTATTTAAGAGGTGCAGACAGTAGGACCAAGGAGAAAAATAAGTAAAATCTTTTATCTCAAAACGAGGAAAAAGGAGGGCAGGGGATGTAGCTCAGTGGCGCCACACCTGCCTGGCAAGCACAAGGTCCTGAGTTTGATCCCTGGTACCACAATGAATGAATGAATTAATTAATTAAATTCTGCCTAATAAGTGCCTTTGGGCTGGGCATTTAGCTCAGTGGCACTATGCCTGCCTCACAAGCTCAAGGTTCTGAGTTCAATTCCTGGAGGTATCAAAAAAAAAAAAAAAAGAGGAAAAAAGAGGCAAGTGTAATGGCTCTTGCCTGTAATCCCAGGACTCTGGGAGGCTGAAGCAGAAGGACCACGTGTTCAGTCCAAGTCTGGCCAATTTAGTGAGACCCATCTCAAAATAAAAAAGGGCTGGAGGTGTATCTGAGTGTAAAGGCCCTGGGTTCAATCTCTAATGCTAGGAAAAGATGAGTAAGTAGCTACTGAGTGATATACTTGAAGAGTTAATGATGAGTCATCCCCTCTAGAGAAGACTCAGAAGTAGACTTAAATTGTGGCAAATTTGACTACAGTTGAAAAATGATGTCAGGCTAATCTTTATTACTATTATGTACGGTCTTTATCAAGGTAATATTTTCATTTAGACTACTTTCTTCAACATCAAGTAAATGCTTTTAGTGCATGAGCTGTGAAATCCTGTGTTGACATTAGTCTAAATAAGAGAATAAACAGAAACCACATTGATAATTATAAAACACCAGTGTAAAATTATTATTATGCTATGGGTCTGATTTGTATATTGATAACTGTTTTACTTTTTAAATGATTTAACAGGGATTTCTTAGTTGATTTAATAAGGTGGTATCAAATTTCATTAACCATAGATCTTTCATTTATTGATGGAAATTCAGGCATGGCACTCTCAGTTTTTATTTAAAAGAAGAGTAAGTTATACATAAAAGCTTTTTCTCTCATGATTTTTAAAACCCATGTTGGTCTGGGTTGGAAAAATGGAACTGCAATCATTAGTTCTAAGAGAATTTAAATAATTTAAAAATTAGTCATGAGACTAGGAATGTTAAAACACAAAAAGAGTAAGTTCTTGACGAAGCTCCAGGTTTCACCACACACTGTGTGCAACTCCGTGCATGTGAGACATGTAAAACTGCTCAGTATAGACCCTTCTTTAATATGGATATGACTGAAGTCCTTATTTGGAAACTTATGATTAACCAAACTCATTTTCAGAATCTCCAGTCCATGTTTTAATTCTGCCTTTTCAGGATCTTCAGCAACTCCAACAGCTTCAACAGCAAAATCTCAACCTGCAGCAGTTTGTGTTGGTGCATCCAACCACCAACCTGCAGCCCGCGCAGTTCATCATCTCCCAGACGCCCCAGGGCCAGCAGGGTGAGTGGCGCCCAAGGCTGTGCACTCAGCAGGCACACATGCTGGCTCTTATTTTGCCCTCAAACTGTCTGTACGAAATTTTGATTTTAAACTATCAGTATTTTTGTTAAGACTTTTTTTTTGTCAGATACACCATATTATTGAAGATTGCCCATTACTGCCATTCATATCAGTTTAATCACTGAGGAGGAACCCAGGGTTTGGCCAAAGTCTAAATGAAGCATGCTGAACATCAATTGGTTAAGTGGCTTCTACCACTTTGATAGTTTATCACGGGGATGTATTCAAAGAATATAGACTGAACATAATTTGGTTACTTTTAAAATTGGAAAAGGAGGGGCTGTAGAAACTATAATTTTGTAAGTTATAGAAAGCATCTATGAGGTTCTTGAATAGTAAATAGTGTATAAATTTTGTATCAAGCAGTAATGAAGTTCAGTCATGTTTGTAAGGCCTAGTTAATATAAACAGTGTAGAGTATTAGGGTATCAAGACTTCAACTCAAGAAACATTAGTGCATCTCTATTGATTTCTTTAAAAATATTATTGTAATTGTATATATTGGTGGGGTACAGTGTGATATTTCAATATATAAGTACAATGTACTGATCAAATACCAAGTCTTCATTGTTTCTGAGGTTTGTTTTTTTTGTTTCTTTTGCCTTTTTTCTACTTGTATATTCATTCCAAAACCTTTCATTGTGTAAACATGTATTTTTAGCTTCTGTTCAGAATTAAAGAGCTTACCGTCTAGTGCCAGGGAAACAGACCTATTACAAGGTATTAGATTCGATATGCACAGAGTGCTGTGGGAACCAAGCAGAGACCCTTTGTGCTTTTGTGATCAGAGAAAACCTTGACAGTGAGTTGGGACAGTGCCTTCATACCAAATGTAAAGGATAGAATGTCAGTCTTATAAAATGAACAGCATTTGCAAAGCTCAAAGATATGGAAGAAAAAATTATGAGCTATGTTTGAGAACTATAAGTAATGCCTTAAAATGAGACTGTTAAGTTGCATATGTGAAATTTAAGGCCTAAAAGTTTAGAGGAGACCAGATCATTAAAGCACCTAACAAGAGTTTGACCTTTAGTCCAATAGCTTAATAGTTATCATGGTTCAGTTGATGTATTAGTCACTTGAAAAATTAGAAAAGTAGGTTTCTGAGCCCCAAAATTTTAACCAGGCCTTTAACCCCAACCCTAATTTAAATGCCCCAATGCCTTCGAATATAGGAAGCCTCTTATAGGCTATACAAAGCTATAGAAAGTTTAAGTAGAAAAGTGACATTTCCCACTTTCTGTTTTGAAAGCTGACACTGAAACTTGGGGTAGGAAAAATTAGAATGGATAAAAATACTGGTTAGGAGAACATTGCAATGGTCCAGTTGAGATTTGATAAGGGCTGAACTGTGGTTGTGGGGATAGACAGGAGATGTTGATTTGGTGGATGGAAAAGACGTGGTGGCCAGTTATATTTGATTAATGATGAGAATGAGGCATCTTAAATAGTTCTTGGTTTTTTAGGAAACTATAGGGTTAATTGGTGAGAAAATGTGTATGTAATAATGGAAGATCCTTAGTTTAAAAAAAAAAATCTGTAAGTATAAGAGGAATAAGTAGAGTTAGAAGAAGATACTGTGACTTTAGAGGTCAAAACTAGTGAAGAGTTTTAATAACAATGGAAGAGAATTCCAAGAAGTGAGGAGGAAATGATCTAGACCAGAAAGACTTAGAAAGGTCAATACTGAAGTGTGAGTATCAGATTTGGTAATTGTTAAAGCTTTAAGATTGCATGAGATTGCCTTCATTTTCTTTTGGCAAAGCTAAGAGCATGGTCTTTGGACTTTTGAAAGAATAAAGCCCAAAGCTGAGCACAGTGGCACTTGCCTATGATCTCAGCATTCTGGGAAGCTGAAGCAGGAGGATCACAAATTCAAGCCAGGCCTGGACAACTTAGCAAGACCCTGCTCAAAATAAAATAAGAAAAGGCTGGCTAAACATTTGAAGTATAATTTATATTGTTGACAGTATTACTATGATTTTATTACTGTTTGAATATTTAACTTCTAGCAAGAGAAATCTAAGCTATTTTCCCAGGGTCCCCCTCCCCTTGGGAAAATTCTTATTGATACATTTCCAAACTTGAGACGTAACTTATTGGAGATTACTGCCCTTTCTGTTCTCACCATTGATTCTGAAACGAATCAAAGAAATGTTCGTGTTAGAAAACGGACGTTTGTTTTTTATTTGGCTTTTCCATTGCTGGGAGGGTGAAGTAAGGAAGCAAAAGGTGGTCTTCATGTAAGTTCTAAACCTTTATGGGACCTTTCACTTTTTAGCTAAACTTATTATTACTATCTTTTAGTATTCTTGGGCCATTATCCTTATAAAATACTTTTAATAGATTGTTTTTAATCATTGACATAGACATAGTTTAATTTTTCTCTCCAGACTACCCTGGAGAAACCCTTTTATGGTTTTTTGAAACCAGAAAAATTTAATATTATGGTTAATTCACTCAACAATTTGTTGAGTACCTACTGATTGTCATACAGCATTCTAAGTGTTGGGATTATAATTGTAAACAGGATGAGGTCCATGCTGCCCCTTAGAAGAAATGAAATAGTAAACGTGTGGGAAAGTGATTTAGATAGCACTGTGTACTAGGCACACAGCAGATGGAACTAATTGGGTAAGGATTTACCTGTGGAAGAATGGGTAGATGGTCCAAAAGGACCTCTCTGGAGAAGTGTCATTTGCGTTGAGAACTGATTATGGGGGGAGGAGAGCTGCCACCCTAGTATCCGGGTGAAGAGTCTTGTGGACGGAAGCATAACAGCACCCGAGAAGGGAACAGGCTTGACCTAGGCCAGGAAAAGAAAGACCAGTATAGCTGGAGCTCAGTGAGTACAAGGAAGTGGTAGGAGATGAGGTCTGAGAGGACAGGGCTGCACAGATTGTGCCCCTCTTGTGATGGAAAGTCTGAGCTGCTTAACTGGGGAAGGACATGACTGAAAGGTAACCCGACTACTCTATGGGACTGAACTGTAGGGGGACGCTGGGGCACCAGAGTGGTCTCTTAAACTCCCCTTTTTTTAATCTGCCTTTTAAGAGTGTATAGTAGTATATACTCAGTTTTACTTCACTTCATCATACTCACTTGCCCCAGACCAATAAAATTGAAATCTGCTTAGTATATTTATCTTATTTGTGATATACATGGTGAATATGCTTTAATTTCTTAAATTAGGTAGTTTTTAGTTACTTACAAATGATAACATTTGTGTCCAGTTTGTTTTGGGTTGTTGTCCTATATATTCTAACATTCAGTGTATCGAATTTGGTAGCCTATGGCCGGGGTTTAGCTCAGTGGTTCTGCCGCCTGCCTCGCAAGCGCAAGGTCCTGAGTTTGATCCCCAGTACCCCCCCAAAAAAATTGGTAGCCTATGGAAATTGTAATTAGGAAGATACTAATTCCCCAACTAATTTTATCACGTATTTTAAAAAAAAAAAAAAACAACTGGTACCGTTCCTTTTCTTTGATGTACTATTTTGGATAATTTCTACCACTGCTCTTACCTTATCAAAAATAATCTTATACTTAGTATTTTAGCAATAGCATTATATTTGAAGTTAGGTTTTTAGATTAACTGCTACCGCTTTTTAACATAAGTTTTCATTGTGTTGCCTAAGCTGGCCCCAAACTCCTAGGCCAAGCAATCTTCTGCCTCAGCCAATTGAATAGCTTAGACTATTGGCATGCACCACCACACCTATCTTACTTATCAGTCACTTTAAAATAAGACAGTTCAGTGTAGTACTGATAGAATTTACATTTCAACTTCATTATTACCGGAAGGCAAATGTTTTATAAAGAGAACTTTAAAAAACAGCATCTTGTTCCACTAAAAGGATAGCCTCCTCCTTTCGTGAACTGGGTACTTCTCTGGTCCAGAATATACTGGCAGATTCTAATGGATTCTGGTTAAGAAGTTGAGCTATTTTGGAGGGTTTGCTGCTGTTGTTGTTGTTGTTGTTGTTGTTGTTGTTTACTTTTAGTTGCTTCCATTTAGAATGGTTCTTCACTTTCATGTGCTCCTTACTAAAATAAAGAATTGGCCTACTGGAGAGCTTATTCAGATTACACTAAAGACATATCAGTTTTAATTTAATGTTACTTATCTTCTTGCCCAAGTTCTACTTAAGTTTTGTGTACTGAAGAAGATTGAATTTTAGACAATAAGGCAGGAGTTTGAAGACCAGTAAGACTATCAGATAATGGATTGAAAATTTTTTCAGCTCACTTTCTTATTCTTTCTTTTGCTGTATGTGTTGAAAACAACCTTTAATGTTTTCTGGCAGTGACACCTTGATATTTTATAGGTCTCCTGCAAGCGCAAAATCTTTTAACGCAACTACCTCAGCAAAGCCAAGCCAACCTCCTACAGTCGCAGCCAAGCATCACCCTCACCTCCCAGGTCAGTCTTCTCTCGCCCTGTTGTGGGGAGAGACTTTTGGACTTTAACTGCAAAAAAAACAAAATCAAGACAAAACAAAAAGAACTAATAATCCAAACAGTGTTTTTCAGCTTAGTAAAGAAATGCTACCAAACTGATGAAATTCTGAAAGGACATCTACCAAAAAAACCCATATTTAATAATCAGCCTGAATTACCTTCCTTCTGAGATCAGAACAAGGTGACCACTGTTACCACTTTCATTCAGCATTATACTGACAGTTCTAGAAGTACAATAATACAAGAAAAACAAATAAAGGACATAGAGAATCTTGCTATATTTTTTACTTCTTCAGAAAGGTTGAAAAACTAAAAGCTCTCCTAACTAGAAGACAGACAAACATCATTGTCTGTAAGAAAGTCTTAAGGCATCTCGAGAGGTGGGAGACCTGCTGGAATAAGTGAGTTTAAAACTATGTAGGAACAAAGTCAATATAAAAAAAACACTTATATTTCTATACATTAGCAATATTCATTTGAAAATTGGAATTAAAGATAAATGTAATGTGGGGCTAATCATAGAGGTTAACTACAAAGGGCACAAGGAAACTTTTGGTGGTGATGAAAATGTTCTGTATCTTAGTTGTTAGTAGATGACTGTATTTGGTTGTTGCCAAAATCAAAAGTATACATTTGTAAATGGTGAACCTTTCAGTATGCTAAATATAAGAGTAAGGTTGGAGTTTTGTGTTTTTGAGGAACTGGAGATTAAATGTAGGCCCTTCACACTGAGCTACATCCCCAGCCCTTTTTTGAGACAAGGACTCAATAAGTTGTCCAGGCTGGGCTTAAACTTGGCAACCCTCTTGCTTCGGGTTCTCAGAGTGCTGAAATTACAGGCCTGGCCGAGGTTGGGGTTTTGACAAAAGCCTTCATGATGACTTCCTTCCTGACCTACATGTCTGCAGGCTCTGCAAACAGTGGCAGGTTATTATGGCTTTGTCCCAACTTCTGCTCACTGAAATCTACTCTGCCATTCCTAGATCTGTCTCAGCCCAGCCTGTAACTTCTAGAGTAGGGGTATCTTCTCTGTAATCATACACCTAAAGGTACCCAAACTGTTTGTAGTCCTCTATTATTTGAGGAAGCAGGTCCTCGAGATGAAGTAACAGTCTTACAGTTGAGACTTATCTCTACCTGTTAACAAGTTTCACTGTGGGAAGTGTATAGCCATGTAGGATTCTAATAGGGTTGGCTTCTCCAAAATGGTCAGCTTGAAAATTACTCAGGGTCAGTATGTCAGGGAGATCAACTTTATTGTTTTTATTGAAGCAGGATGAGAGGAACTTGCCTCAGTTACTGTCTGTGGAATGCCTATTGTGTAGTTTTCTGGGCTAGTTAGTCCCCTTGGAGAAAGCCTTGCCTAATGAAGTCAAGTTCAGAGGTATGTGACCTATCTAAATTATAGGAAGAAAAATTCACAACACAGGTTATCTGTAATCCTGGTGTGTAATCTCTTACCTGGGCTCCTGTTCACAGAAAGGGTCAAGCAAGCAATGAAGATAGAGAATCAGGACAGTACCTCCCATTAGTGAATACACAGAAGGGGATATTCTACTTAGGGCTTGTGAGTAGAACAGCTTTGTGTTTGTGCAATAAAGAGATTTAATATTTTCTTTTAAAAAAGAGAAAAGACTATTGAGGTTGGGAAATGTAGCTCAGTAGTAGAACTTGTGCTTAGCACGCAGTAGGCCTGCCCCCACCAAAAAAGAAAAAGGAAAAAAGACTAAAGCCTTATGTCTCAACATAAACTTCAGATGGATTTAAATAATTAAATATTCTAAAAATACAAAGAAAAAGTAGCAAATTATCAGGAATCCTATCAGAGTGAAAAATAAGTGAAGCTTTCTTAAGATTTGAACAATAGAAGCAATGGGGGAGGGGGCACTTCACCTAAATGACACTTTGCAGTTTATGTACCTAAAAATAAAAGGAAAAAAGCAAATTAGAAAAAAAAAATTTGCATTAATAAAGCAGGCAAAAACTTACTCTCTTAACATTTAGTAAGCTCATTTAGGATGAGAATAAGGATATTGATAATATATAAATGGGCAAAGGACACAAATCCAGTTCATATTCAAAGAAATACAGAAAATATTTGACACATGGGAAATTTTCACTTTCAATAATAAATTAAATGCAATAGCAAAAGTGATATATCATTTACTCCCTGATGAAGAAAGTATTTTTTTAATGTGGAGGAAACTGCATTATATAATAGGAACCAACATTATCAGAAGCCATGAAATTATCTAGTTGCCAAAAAAAAAAAATCCCTTGGGAACCCCCCTGCCTTGGGAATTTTTCTTAAAGAATTATTTATGTAGGTGGAAAACACATACACAAAGTTTTTCGTTGTGATGTTACCTGTGGTAAATGAAAAACTGTATAGCAATTAAGAAATTGTTAAAGTAAAATAATATTGCTCTAGCCAGTTCTTGGAAAGGATAATTATGTATACCATAATTACAGTTAAGGTTAAATGTAGGTGTGTGGAAAAAAATTTAACAAATACCCCAAAATGATGCCTCCTATAATAAATTATTTAAACTACAGATTATTTATTTTCCTCCTTAAAATGGTTTAATAATCTTATCATTTTTATAATATAGTGTCACATGTTA